GACTTCCTATGGGAGGTAAAGGAAAATGGTTGATCAATACGTTTAATGTGATGTGATTTTGTTTACAAGAAAAAGATAAAGGGTGACTTGAGTATTTATGATGCAAAGTGTTGAACGAGGTAGTTTAAAACAAGTTAGGCACTTGGCAATATATTGAAGTAAATTAGGACGCTCAATCTAAACATGGCTTGAGTCGGCATTTGAAACAACTATTGAAGATCAAGTACAAAGCAAACTTTGGTTTTAAGGGGTCTAAGGAATCTCCAAATGACAACTACATAATTAATCTGGGGTATTAATAATTTCTAGGGAATCAGAAAAGATGCCTAGAACTCTAATCATTTGGTCCAATTATAACGTCCAAAAACACAAATTTTTTTTTGGGTTAATAAAACACTAATTTTTAAGCACAATGCATGGATGAAAGAAAAAGATAAGTAGAGAGGGGTAGAATTGGAAAATTGGTTAACAAGTGTGTAAGACAACCTAGGGGTAACACGTTGGTGCTTACCAAACCCAAAAATTATGTGTGTGTGTGTGTGTGTGTGTGTGTGTGTGTCGATAAGTTGATGATGTGTGCAAATTAAATTGTATAACTTTTTTCCTGTAAGGTATACTTTTGCTAACTAATGTGTCGCATTATAATTGATGTATTAGTTATTTTTGGTCGTATGATTCGAGATAAAAATCAATTTATATTTAAATTTTCACAAATAGAAAAAGAGATTGGCCTCAGTTCAAGTACAAAAGCATACATCAGATTTTCCTTCTTAACTACGAGGTTTATATTAAGTATGATCTCATAGCAACAACAATTTTTTTACTCTTATAATCTCATTCGCTTCTCGCACCTTAAAGATCCGTTAAGCTTCTTGAATAAAATATTAAAATTTTACTAATCATTTTTAACTAAACACATATAACTTTAACATTTATGATTAATGGAGACAACTACTTCATTTCGTACTAGGCGCTTAAAGAAGTCATGGCCAACGGGAAAAGGATCAAAGAGCACCCAACGTTGTGTTTAATTAGAATATATTTCACAAAATTTTTTTGTTTTAAGAATTTTGTATTGGCAACAAAACATTCAATATTAAAATTAGGATGAAACAAGATATATACATTTCAAAGAAAAAAACTAAATTAATGGTAAGTATAACAATTTTATCCATGCAAGTTTTGTGCTATATATATATATATCAATTTTATTTACAAGGATTTACAATCTTAAAACAATTCCTTATAACCAAGCTAACTACAGGTCTTATGGTCCAACTCTAACAAACTGGTTTCTTTGCTAACCAATCTAACCATTCTCTATTTGACTCTCGACTATCATGGATTTATTCAAAAAATTACCTACTAATGCAATAGCCATTTTCATATTAGTTACAATCCATTTCTTCGAAATTTATATCTATCTTGGTTGTAATTGTGTAATATCTTCTTAGTTTTTGAATTAGATGCCCAAATCATTTTCCTCTCCCTTGTCTATTATTTTCTCTGTCCGACTTTAATAGTTTGTTTTATTGTGTTTATTTTAGTCTAATAAGAGCAGAGGATATTTTTATTTTTTTAATTTTTTTTCGATGGAGGGAATATTGTCGATAAACTTCTTTGGTACAATATATTTACTCAATAAGCTATATCCTCTTTTTATATGGTACTTGTGAAGATAATTATGTTCCTAGATATTACGATTTCCTGAGTCTTTATTGATGGTAGACAATTTTCAATTAATAGTTACAAGCGTTTTATGAAAATTAGTTAAGTGATGACCGAAGATTTACTAACGTAATTGTAAATAATAATGATTCATCACATCACAAATTTAACTTTGCTCCCATTTCTAGTGACATAGCTATCCAGTTGACACATTCATTGCCACATGTTTTATTAAAAAAAGTACGTTTTAACTTTAAAAAAAATTGAATCCTTACTATAACATTGTTTTCCTCTTAGATTGGTAGATAGAAATTTTCTTATTGGATCCTTAAGCTGATCACATGAACTCTCTCTTTTCTCATGACTTAATTTTCTTAATTGTTGATTTCGGTGAATGATGGCTTTTTATTAAGTTGTTCGGTGGTAAAGTACAGAACTTGGTTAGTAAATGATGCTTCTGATCATTAGATCATAGCATCTCGAGTAGACTGATGTAGTTGAGAATTATATTATACTTTAATAATTAAACATGAAACTTGTGAGTTCATATGCACTACGCGCGTGCCCTATCATATTAAACATCTTTCCAAAGGGGAAAAAGAATCTTGTAAAACATAGGCTAAGAATTTTGGATCGTTTATAATTTCTTCACACACTTAGGTCTAAGATACAATCTGAGATAGAACCCGCGTCTGATTTTCTCTGAAATTGGAAGTAATTTATTACAATCTTGTTCATTAATTCTAAGTGAATTAAATTTTTATTGTCCAGTATGTTGTTAATGTCATTAGCTCATTGTTTAAAGGATAGAAATATACACAAAAACAAGAAACAATAGAGAAATATTGGAAACATAATAGGAGATGAATGTACCATTCTACATATTTAAGAAAGTCCAACACACTCAATCCGTGCACTAGTATCTACTCCTTCAATTTTAGAAAAATATCAATTAGAACATCATGTTCTAAACATGTAAATGGAATTTTCTCACATGATTTTATGCTAACGTGGATACATTCATTGCGGTGATCTTTGAACTACCCAACTTAATTATTATCAACTTCATGGATCAATCTTCTCAAAATAACTGCTTACCGGTTGGAAGGAAAACAAAATAATCAAAGTGAGACAAGAGAAAGAATATTGGAATAAGTGAAAGTTTTAATGTGCGATCATGTGAGAGTCTTTTATATACGGAAAGAGAAAGGCAAATAATTAAAGAATTTGAAAAGTTACAATAATTACAATAACTGTATTTACTTTTCTTTAAGAAGCAGAATAAATATACTTTTCTTTAAGAGCCTTTTACATACTTTTCTTTATAATTTATCCTTTAAGAAGGAGAAACAAAAAGATGGTAATTAACATAAGAAAAATAAATCTAAAGCATGTATTTATGGACAATCATGTGAGAATGATGATGTGGAAGAATGAGAAATGAGAGTACAAAGTGGCTATTTATATATATGTTTGATAATCATGGAATTTTTGAACTGACACACAGTTAATATGGCACGAAAGACCCGTGACAATCAATAAGGATTGACCCCTTGATTTAAATTTAATTAATTGAAGTTACAAAAAAGACGAAACTTGAATCCTGATATTTTGCCATTGAAGGTTGTGATATATGGTAGCCGTGAAAGGAGATTATTATTTATGAATAACTTCTTTTTGGGGTGTGTGTGTGTGTGTGTGTGTGTGTGTGTGTGTATGTACATATATGTATATAATAATAATGTGTGTGTGTGTGTGTATGTACATATAATAATAATAATAATAATAATAATAATAATAATAATAATAATAATAATAATAATAATAATAATAAATAGTAACTTTATTAAGATGGATATAAATTCTCTAGCTATGATTGATTAAAAACGAGGAATTCAAATAGAGAGATACTATTTTTAGCAAGAAATACTAATTCGTGACATATTCTCTATTTTACGGCACCAATACTACCCTAACCAAGATGCTCTTTAAATATCCTCCAAAACTGATATGAAACTATACGAGCAATAGTAGTCCCTATTGAGTGGATAAATTAAGGAGTGGGAGTTGGACTCATATTTTCTTTGAAAAATAAAAAAAGGTTTATCACTAAATTGACACGTTGTTCGCACATAAATGTTTACGTAGCAATTTTGAACAAAAAATTTGATGTCCCAAACTCAGTGGATTCGGAATGAAGATGTTAAAGTAAAGAGTTGGTTCTTGTGAGTGTTGCTTTCTTTTTCGAAGGAAAGAAAATGTGTTTCTACTTGAAGAGTTAAAGAAGTGAAAGAGGAGGAAAAAAAAAAGAAAAAGGGAAAAAAGACTCTGTTACCAGTTTGCTTTATGAATGACTTAGGAGTTTTTTCATTCTTTACTTTTTACACTCCATGATATGTAATCCTATTGTTGTATTTATTTCTTTTTAACGACCGATATTATTTGATTACTAGATTATAATTATTTCTCTGTATATTATTATTTTATTATTTCTATTTAAGATTGTTTTGCACAAAATTGGAAAATAGATGGTAGCCTAGTCTGGTATTGATGCTTTAAATGAATCTTTAAGACATTTAAGAATCGATATTTATTTGTAATATTCTTTCATTCTAGAGAAATGATCTACATTGTAAATTGTGAATTGTACAACAAATAGTATAATTTTCAATTTTCCATGTGTATTATTTTTGTGGGACAAAAGTGAGTATATAATACGAAAATTTTCCCACAAACGCTATTTTTTTTTTAAAAAAATAAAACTATTTCCCACATACAACATTTGTTTATGTTGTTATATTCTAATCAAACATGATCTATGTCTTTATATACATGGAAAATAGCTTTTTTCTCTTCTATTATTTCAAATTGATGTTGTATTGTAGTAATTATTAGTAATATTTTAAAGTACTTGTAAAATTTGGTCCTAACCTTGGTTTTGGTTATGAACTTAATCATAGGATGGTGAAGATAATACAAGGTCGTAAATTGCCTTGGATGAGGCCCAATCTACTTCCGACCCTAGCAAGAGAATTATCACCAAGAATGAATTGCGTTGGAAAAAAGGCATTCTTCCAAGAAGATGAAAAAATAGCAAATTAAATCACATTTCCAAGTTGAAGAAGAAGTTGGCAAAATCCCACAAATTTTGGGCCTTGGGCTAATCTGCCTAAAGGTCTCTGGCGGAAAATAATGAAATCAATGAGCCTAGATGACCAGTTTTGGTCCACTGCAGTTTGCGAAGATTGGAATTTGGCGATAACGAAAATTGCCTGATCACTAGAACCATACTCTAACAGCATTGGTATTGTGGCTTGGGAGTTCTATTACAGATGGGAAAAAACTATGTGAACCCGAAATTGAATTTGGTAACTCAACTTAATGATCCTAGCTCCGAGGATCATTTGTATTGGAGAATCCTAATTGGAATTCTAAGACAAAATTTGCTTTTGGGGCCAATCCTGTCACTCTTAGAAATGGATGGTTCCTCTTCGCTAAGAAGTTCCAACGGAAGAGCTATTTTTCCTGCATCACCTCTTTTCCAAGCATTGCATTTGGTTGCCTACACTGAAGTACTATTTTCACGTTGCTACGTTCTCTAATAAACCACTTTCTTCTAGCCCAGATGGCCAATCTGATTGTGTAGTTTTCGTGTTGTATAAACTGGGATTTAGGATTTACATTTCTAATGCAGAAGAAAATGATTCTAAGATTTCCAGTGTGGTTTATGGTGAAGGAAAAAATGGGTTTTACTGTGTCTTTCCTGGTGGGATTTTGGGAAAATTTGGAATATCAGATCGTTCATGGAGTTTTATTTCAATAGAAGGTCATGGATTAGAACAAAGAAGGTATCATCACTTGTTTCGGTACAAAGGGGAATTGATACTTGTGGTTAAGGATAGTTTTTACAGGTTTCATACTTTCAGGTTTGATTGGTCTGCCATGAAATGGATTCCGGTGAGTGGTGTCCATGACAAAAAAAGTACGTCACATATGGATTTTGAAGGATTTTTATCCAAGAATAAAGGTAACGGGGCGTTTTTGTGTGTGAATCTGCACTATTCGAATGCTCCTAATGTGTGTTGGATTGATCTTCCTTCTTTTGGGCAAAAAGTTTCTTGAGGGATTGGATATTGCTTGTCTCTGTTTTTGTTGTCATAGATTTTGAAGATGTTAATTTGATTGCATTTCATTCGTGAAATGACATTGTCCTAGCTATGAATTTTGTATATTTTTCATACTTTTTTATAATGTGGCATTATTACATGATGATTATTATTGTTGTTCATTGTTTTCTCGTTTTGGAAAGGGATTCTTACCATTTAAAACCATTGAAATATTAGTATGTTTGTTTGAAAATTCATAATTTTATCACTATTTCTGTCCCGAAATTATTGTCTTGTTTGGAATTTTATTTTTAATTTAAATTGTATTAAAACTAAAGATGAAAACTAGACAATCAATTTAGCACAGAAAGAGTATAGTACATATCTTTATGAAATTTTTTTTCTCCCACTTTTGAGATAAGTATCAAGATAGTTTTATGCTCTACAAGGCACAAATTATGCACAAATTTTTGTGTAGTATGTTTCCCCATTTCCTTACTACTATATTTATATTTTAAATTAGGATTATAAAGTTGGTTTTTTTCTTCCTTTTCACCCCTGCGTTAATTAGCTATTGTTTCTTTTAAAGCAATCACACCGAGCCATGGAATTTGGGTGTCATTATTTATTCATGGAATTTGGGTGTCATTATTCCTTCATTATATTTATTGTTTGACAGTTACTTGTCTTAAGGGCATCCACAATGGTGGTAAATAACAAGTGAATAACAACATTATTATACTGGTTGATACATTTTTTGGTGTCAAAATGCACTTAATATGAATTTATGATAATACTAAAATTATTTTATTTATTATACTTTTACGGTGTAAACCAATGTAGTGAAAAGTGGAATAAAAGTTTAATATTGAAAATTTATGACATTACACTCATAATAGTGTAAACCATTGTAGATGCTCTAATAGTAAGTTGTGTTATTTCATGACTCTATGTGAGGAATTGATGAAGTGAAAACAATATTATTATATTCATATTAAATTTTTATTAATTATTATTTATACTACTTTATACCCGTGCAGTTGCACGGAATCACAGAATTAATACCCTACGGACAACTTCCAATTGCAACGGCATTTTAGAATATAGAAAACATGAAATATATAATAAACAGGTTTGGAGACATAAAAATAAAAATAAATTAAAATTGTCAGGATTAATCAATTAAATTTTATGGAGTGCTTCTTTATGCACGTTTTTCGTCCAATTATCAAACGTCTTTGTTGCATATAAATACTTTGAGCCTTTATGAATTACACCACAGAAAGTGCTACCTAAAACTATCCATGGTCCAATAAAGAACGTGACAAAAACAGACTTAGTTGAGAAAATAGTTGACTTTTTTTTATTAATTTATCGTAAGAAAATATGTAACAATCAGAAATTGTCGCCACTCAAACCTAACTGGCATTCTTATGTTGAACATCAGGATGAACAATCGACCAAATTATGCTCTCGCATGATATGGATTATCTTAGATCTCTAAATACAGTAAAAAGATTCAACATTACATGACCGGTAATTATAGAATAGTATCATTGATTATAGAATGTAATTGTGTCACTCGTAGTGTTATGTTTGACGATGTTATATTATGATCTCTCTCTTGCGACAAAAGTACCGAATGGATAATGCTTTCATCTCTAACATTTCCTGACATTCCTTTCTTGATAAAACATAAAGTAAAACAACAAAGTAAACCTTAATACATAGAATTTAAGATTTAAACAGTTGTCTTCACTACTAGAAAAATAGTGTTTAGAGGCATTTATAAGTGCCTTAATATATGGACTACTAAGGCACTTTGACCTTTTAAGGCATTTTGGAAAAGTGCCTTTAAATTCAATGTGATCATAGGTTTTGTGTAGTCATATGTAGTTTTTAAAGACAATTATTAAGTGTTATAACATATATCCTATTATGGCATTTTTAAATGCCTAGATAAAAATAATAGTGCCTCCACAAATTATCTATCATGGTATTTCTTAAAAGTAGAGGCATTTGAAGGGCCTTCACATATGGTATATCACGTCACTTATGAATGCTATACAACACCAATAATTAATTTTGGTGGAAAAAATAATTCATAATCTTTTTACTGTAAATACTTTATTATAAAATATAAAAATATATTCAATAAAAAATAAAATTTCTATTACATTCATATAAGGAAGAAAACAAAGTAGTACCCAAACGTAGCACAAACAAAGGGGGTAAAAAGAACCAAAAACTTAATCTTTTGTACACAGTTCCGTAAAAGCTAACAGGAGAACAAGAGATTTTAACTATCAAGGCAACACAAGAACTGCAATTTTCTTCAAATTGCATCATTTTGTCCATATATAGGATCCTTATCAAATCTCCATAACTGAAAAATCTTCTTCTCGTATGCCAAAATGTACTACTGTTCAAGTTGGAAACAATGATAGCAGAAAGTTCATATTCTCTTATCCAACTTCTCCCTTCCGGATGAAAGCTGCAAAAAGTTTCCTAAACATGATTATTAAATAATAAGTACAAGATCAAACATATTGAATACTAGTTGACACCTTTAGAGATGGAACATCATTTCAATCATATACTCCCTTAATCCCAAAACTAGTATCCAGTTTAGAGTATCATGTTTTATTCATTAAAAGTGAAAATCCAAACCGGATAATAATTTTGAGATAGAAGGAATATATATTAATACTAAATCAAAATATGAGCAACTAAAGGTTTCGCAGTAAAGATGCTAATAATTTATGTATAAAGATTGAAAATCAGAGAAAGGTTAAATCCAAAGTCATATCTTCTTCATCACATGGAAATCGAACCTTAATAAACATTTCAAATCAAATTTAAGGTTTCAATTAAATTAAATAATAAGCAGTATACCTGATTAAGAACAAAACAACTAAGCCAATAAGTTAGAATTGTCCTCAAAGTTCTGCAAAACATGTAAAACTTACAAACCCGAGGAAAAGAAAGCTCTTAATATTTAATTCCTGTAGCATTTGGTGATTCAATAGTAACAATAAGCCTATTACCCAATCATCTCATTCATGTGTGCCCCACCATATAGGTTACCTTGACACACATTGATTAAGATATAGGCCGATCAAGTGAAAATTATAAAAAGAAACTTACACCCAAAAATGAAAGTAAGCAAACCCAAAAAGATTAGTTTTCCACTCTAATTGATAGATTAAAGTTAAGAATATGTTCCTTTTTTGGGTAAACAAATTTGTACGTTCTGCTACAAAGACCAACCTCAAATAATTACAATAAACAAGAACAAGTTTAATTTGGTAATTCAAGATAAAAGAAAGAACTATAGATAGAGGAAAGTTAGAAATCTAAGTGAAAAACATGTGAAACAACATTAATCGCAGATGTAGCCAACAACAATGAGAAAGACAAAGATCAAAGCAAAGCCCATATTATGTGCAAATTGCAAAATAAAGATTACTCAAATATTTAATTAATTAGCTAAATATTCAACAAAAACCACCAAAAAGCCTATGAAAAACCAGAATCTATAACTCCCTAACTCTCCAAAAGGATCATGCAATCCTCCTTTCAATATTATAAAACAGAGAATTATTAGAGTAAAATCGCAATTTACCTTCACCTATTCTTCATGGGGAAAAATTTGGAGGAAAAAACCCTAGAGATCTTTATAAAATTTATACTGCCATTAATATAGAAACAAAATAACGAATTAATGGAACAAACAGCGGAAGAGGAACAAAACATATTAAATTACCCCTTTCTCTTTGAGCCAAATTCGATGGGAAAAACTCGGCCACCAATTCGTGAAGCAACTTTGGGTTTCGAAAGGGGATTTTCTGTATTTCACGAGGAACAACAAAAAAACTTGGATGATGGTGAATCAATACGTTGGTGATTTTAATCTTGAATCTACCGCATCATTTGTCGATTCTAGTGTTCCGGAAGAGTATTAGTCTAAGAATTGAGAACTTGTATTGAATTGGTGAGAAAAAATTTGGTTTAGGAAAAAGAGGAAACGAGACGATGAATATTTAAAAAATAAATAATACGAGTAATAAAAATAAAAATATTGATAAGATTGAGGGTTTTTTTTTCCTTTGTTTTGAGGCACAAAACTAGCGGCGGATAAGCTACAATTTTTTTTTATTTACTTGTATTGTAAAAAAAGAAAATAGAATTTTTAGTAAGGAAAATGCCTCAATAGTTTAATGCCATTTAAAGGGATTTATGATGACACTCTCAATTGAATGCCTTAAAAGGTTATAGAGAAGTGTAGTATAAGACCCTCTTTCTAGTAGCGTTTGCATGCTAATATATTAAGGAAAACAGTTCATTCTAAACTTACATTTCCCAATACTACAACCAGATTAGTCCTCAAGAACTCCTTATGGCATTGGTTTCCTAGATGATCTCTACTAAACTTCTCCGCCGAACAACCCGCTTCGTGAATTTCAGTCATAGCAGCGAATTTCAGAGTCCTCCAAAAAAAAAAAAAAAGAAATTCAATTTTCTCAAAGTTTTGGAAAATGGAAAATACAGCCAACATATTATGAAATGTTGAAGATTAATGATTTCATTTTCAAAAACAAAAGGCAAGATTAACAAATTGGAATTGGTTTAATTTTGTTGTGGACAATTATGTTATAGAATGGTACAATATCGATTGATTTTCTTCGCTTTCTTTTAAAACACGTCCTATTTCAACACTCTGAGACTCCAGCCAAAAGAAGAAAATATACGGAGCAGGGAACGGGTGGTAATTTGAAGTACATCATATATCAAAGCCAAGAAGAATTTGTCAGCACAGAGAGTTTGGCAACACATGCAATGACGTGCCAAAAGCTTGGCCTCAGGTCTCAGTACTTAGGTTTTCATAAGGCACTTTTTGCGCTTATGGGATTGAAGTTCGGAGAATTTTCAGATGGTGCTTGGTCATGTGAAAAGCTGTCTGACGTGGCAAATAAGGCATTGAAGGAAGACCTTATTTTGTGGCCTCCAGTTGTGATCATCCATAACAGTACATTGGTAGTAGAAGCCCAGATCGGCACGTCATTGTATAACTGTAGAAGAGCTTGTGGGTAGGCTTAGAGATATGGGTTTTGGGGATAGGGCTAAGGTGTATAGAGGTAAACCAGCAAATCAAAGTGTTATGGTGGTTGAGTTCGCTGGTACGCTTTCTGGATTGCAGGAGGCTGAGACGCTACGCTTTCTGGATTGCAGGAGGCTGAGACGCTTCATAAGGTTTTTGCTGAAAGCAAACATGGGAGGGCTGAGTTCCTGGAGTTCAAATCCTCAAGTAACCGGGAAAATGTAATTGAAGCGGAATCTGCCCTAGATAACAAGCTGCATAGTATTCTATATGGTTACTGGGCGATTGCCGAGGATCTTGGCAAACTGGATTTTGATGCCAAGAAGCGTCGTTTGGTGAAGAGCAAAAAGGAGATTGCAAACATTGCAGAAGCGCCTACAAAGACATGATGAAGAAACCAGTAACTGGGATATGTGAAGTAATGAATGGCTAGTCTGTTTTGCTTTTGCTTAGTTCATCCTTTTGGTACCCCTTTTCCATTTCCTTCTTCTTTTTCCAGTAGATCAGTCAACTCTTCTTTCTCAGGTCCCAGGCCAGCTTGTGAGTTCCTGAGCTTTTGCATAATAAATATTGCTACTTATTAGGAAGATAGTATATCAAACATCTTTGCCTAGTCGTAACCCTGATTATAGTTATCCGAGCAGCTTTGATTTCATCTAATGAAGATGAGCTGATAAGCATGCATTTGCTGCGTCTTCTGAGGATGTGTTCTCACCAAGTAAAGGGAGGGTAGAGGAACCTTTCTGTAAGAGATTTATTGCAGATGCTTCGGCATCAATGCTTTTGACTAGAGGTAGGTTTGAAGCTGTGGTTGTGACTTTTGACCTTAGGATCAAATGGGGTATTCCTTGGGTGAAAACGTTCGGCCAGCTTCAGGAAATATTATACTTTTTCTTTCAGCAGTGGATCCTATGACACATATTGAAAAAAAAAAAAAAAAACCCTATTTCAACAATCTAAGAGCAAGCTAATAATGTTCCAAGAGGCCACATATCGAAAGAGGTGGAAATCACAATCCCCGTAACAACTTGAAACCTAGGCTTTATGCCTCATTCTTAGTACAAACAAAAAAAGTGGAAATCACAAGCAAACTAAATTACTCAAAAGATTGCTTCACATCTCAAACAAAATGCAACATTTCCTACCAGTATAATACATTACTTTCAAAGCAGAAAGCACAAGCTTTGTGCAAAAGTAGCACCTATTCCTCCAACTCTTCCTTCACCTCAAACCACATTGGTTTGTTTTTGAAAACATCATAGCACAGTTTATTCCCACTCAGGCCATATTCAGAACCAATAGGAACAATATAAGATTTTCCAAGGACCATTATACAAATTTAGACATATATGAAGATGTTGTTTTCTTTTCAAATTGGTCAATACAAAACCTTAACACTAATCCATTATGAAGAAAATTTTAATAAGTTTAACACCAAAAGCCAATCCATTGAGAATCTAAAGAATTTTGCCAATTGGAAAGTTCATCAAAGCATCACTTACCTGTGAAGCTGTACTATAACATCGATCAAGTTAAAAATATTGATAATAAATTTAACCTTCAAAAGGGGAAACATAAAATAGAGAAGAGAGAAAAAAAAGAGACATGACACCCAATACACCTTTGAACATTTTGACAAGATTTGGAGCTTCTTCCATACAGCTCATTGCCACAAACCCGAAGCCATGACTCTGGTCAGTCTCCCAATCATATAAGCCAAATAAGCACCACAAAGGCAGAGTTTTTATGAGATGAGGCTTAAGAATCAGCAGATAGTAGATTTTAGCTGATTAAATTTAACTTTGACAGATTATGAAACATATTACTTTTGGGGCTTCCTTCATACCTAAGATTGAGGGATTACAATATTCCGCAGATATGACGCTCCAACAATGATAGCCTCAGAGCTGCCAGACAATCCGCTACAAAATCAGCCTCTTGAAGCTCATGCCGCCACATCACCTTCCAGGGTCGTGAGATTGATTCCTTGATGGCTCGAACCAGCCGCCCCTTGGACGAAAATTAAAAACTACATTTAAACAATATCATCAGCCTCCCAAAAATATCCTTCATTGTACAAATGAGTCCCCCGAAACAGCCATAACACCCAAAACCATCTTCACAACACATTGCAAAGCTAGTTGAACTCCGATCGTGAAGTTAGTTGATTGTTTGCAAGTGCAACAATTTAATTCTCTAAATTAAAAGATTTCTGTGATTAATATATTTTCGCAATTTGTCTTGTTCTTTAATTTCTAGAGAAGGATTTTGCCAGCATATTTATTTCATTTTTCTTTTCTGTTTCCTCTTTTCATGCTTCATTCTGATTTAATAGCCGGGTCGATGTACAATGTCGTATAAACGAATCTACAACTGGTCATAACTATTATGATTCTCGGAACTTCAACCTCAACCTACAATCCTACATTGACAAAAGAGGATAATGATTTTATATTAATCTTTTAGTCAAAACGCATCATGCTGATGAAATTTTGTTGTAGCATTACCATATTGTACTAAGTTTTGAGTATTTGAATTTATACGTTAATTTTGATAAAATTAAACTAATCAGTTAATCCTTACAAATGAAAATTATATTCAATCATGTAATTTAGTCAAAACAGGAAAAACAAACTAAACATTTATTATTATTTGATCTCTAACTAGAGTACCGCGCAACGTCACTTTGTGAACTTTCTAGACCAGCAATTGGGAAAAATGAATGGAAGGGTAACAGCTGAGTGTAATATTTTAGGCAGTAAATAGATTAACAATGGAGCAGCAAACCTGTTTAATTAAAAAGGGTAACACCTCAGGAAAGGAAGAAATTAAGGCCATGCGAAACATTCACAATCTCAAAACTCCAAGTCTGGAAGGCTATGGAAGTGGATTTTATAAGGGCTTAGAAAGAGGTGGGTTATAGATTTATAATGTCAGTATTGTCCGTGACTAAATTTTTTTCGTCTGAAAAATATTAAAACAATGCAACTCGAGTGCTTGTTCTTGCACTTAAGACTGATTCCCCTCAAAATGGTTGATATTATAGACCTATTAGATGTTGCTATGTGATTTACAAAATGTCTATTAAAAGTCTTACGTGAAAGACTAAAAGTAAAGGTTCGAATGCTGGAAGTTTGAAATTGTTTGGGATTCTCGTTTATTCTTCACTTTTAATCATCTACCAAATTAATTAGATATTCAGCTTTTATCTTAATATAATCTTTTTTAGTTTCACCTTTGACCCAATTAAAGTTTGACATTATCTTCAAACATAGTGTTCATGTTTAATTCCAGTTCTGTTTCGTGGTTTACTAGGCTTGTACTACTTCTGTTTTTTTCTTTTGCCTTCTTTAATTCTCCTCAATCGCATTATCATTTTATTTTCATCTTCTTATAGTATCTTATTATGCCCTAATTTTGATCATTTTTTCCAGCCTTCTCGACATCATCCCTCTTGCCGCCTCCCATGTCCAAGTTGGCAAAGCTCCACAATGGGTCATGGGCTGATCTACCGCAAGATCTCTTGGAAAAAATACTAGACTTGACGAGTCTTGAGGGACGATTCCAGTCCACCGCAGTTTGCAAAGGCTGGGAATCGGGGATTAGAAGATTTGGCAGCCGACTGACATCATCATACTCTGACGGCACCGGTGAGCCTTGGATATTTTCTTACAGCTGGGAAAAGATTTGGGATGAGATTCATAAGAAACGGAAACTGAAATTGGTTACTAACTTGTTGATCCTACCATTGAAAATTCATATAGTATGGAAAACCCTAATTGGGAATATTCCGAGATGAATTTCGCCTTTGGGGCCAAACCTGTTGCATTGAAGAATGGATGGCTTGTGTTTGCTAAGAAATTCCAGCGGAAGAAATTCTTTTTCTTGTACCACATCTTTTCTCAGCGTTGTATTTGGTTACCAACTTTGGGAAGCTATTTTGAATTTGCTACCATCTCCAAAAAGTCCTGGTTCAACCAATGATTGTGTGGTTTTTTCATTGTACAAATCTGGATCCGAAATCTGTATTGGCACATACAAAATTGGATATGAGAGTTGGGACACCATGTTAGTTCACAAAGCAGCGCAGCATTATCATGACATCCATTATCATCACACGCGTCATTGTGATTTACTGAGTGTGGTTTATTATAGTGAAGAGGACAAGAAAGGATTCTATTGTGTTTTTGAAGGTGGGATTTTGGCAAAATTCGGATTATCGGATCTTTCATGGAGTTTAATCTCCGAATACCAAAATGGTTTAGAATATCTGCGTCATCACTTGGTTCAATAGGGAATTGTACTTGTGATTAAGAATCATTTGGAAAGGTTTTACGTTTTCAGATTTGATTGGTCCATCAACAACACAAAGGGTGCAATGACTGAGGAATTCAATGGCTTGCTTTTTTTTTTTTTTTTGAAGAAATTCAATGGCTTGCTTTGTTTGCAGGACCGTGATCCTACGCAGGATCGAAATGGGGTTACAAGATCCTACGCAGGATCGAAATGGGGTTACAAGATCGGATCGTAAATAGGATCGGTAGGACCGGAATAGTAAGATTGTAGAATTTCCAAAATTAATTTTATATTTATATATGTTATGTACAATAAATTACAAAATTATCCTCTTTGTAGACATTTTTACACAATTATATACCAAATGACTACCTACGTGTCCTCAAATTACTACTATATTACTTTAATAATTGGGTTTTAGTTATCTTCATAAAAGAATTTAATGTCTAAGCATTATTATAAATTATAAATGGATAAATTTAACGACTAATAAGTATAAGTAATATAAGAAGTGTAATAACAAATTCTCTTACATTTAAAATTTAAATCAAGAATCCTGATCCGAGATGGTTTAAGAATTTTGATCACATACAAAAACTAATAAAAAATTTTATTAATAAAAATAATTGATGCTCTCGGTCAAAGTGACAACTCTTTCTTCTCCGACTGTTTTTTCCAAAACAGTGTACCAATAAACGCCGCAGCCACAACAACAGAGCCATGGAAATAAGGAATCTTTGAAAACAATCTCTCTATCCTCTGTTTCTCTCTAATAAACGCTGCAGCCACAACAACAGAGCCATGGAAACAAGGAATCTTTGAAAACAATCTCTCTATCCTCTGTTTCTCTCTATTTTTTGAGCGACGTATCCTCCAAGAAAAACCCAAAAAAGTGAATCTATTTGTGGAATCACAAACTTAAGTAACTGGATGAAAAAGTATGGTGAATCGATGGTAACAATAAGCAATCCACCTCTTTAAGATTCTGATTTTGCTCCTTGTATGCATAATCTTTCTTTGGAGTTCAATTTCTTCAAATTTCGAAATTTGTGTTGTTGTTCTTTTTTTATTTTGCTTTGAATTTAAGCAATTG